GGTGCGCTCCAGGGGCTCCATCCTGCGCCTCCACCGGCGGCGGCGGAAGGGGTCGGGCCGGCGGGACTTCAGGGGGAAGCGCCAGCCGAAGAGCGAGGCGTACTCCCAGCCTTCCCCGTCCAGATCCTCCTGTTTGTGCTGCCAGGCAGGGACACGTCGGGGCTCAGAGGGGGAGCTCGGTCCCAGCACCCCACAGCCCCTCTGCAGGTGGGGATGGTGGGACCCCAGCACAGCCAAGGGGCAAAGCCACTTTGGGGCTCTCCCAGGCCAGTGTTGTGCCCATCCAAACCTATGTCCAGCCTCTTTGAGTTGTTGCCCGCTACAGTTGTCCCACTCCGTGTCCTTCCTGCATCTCTCCAGCTTAGAATCACAGAATCAGTCAGGTTGGAGAAGACCCTTAAGGTCATTGAGTCCAACTGTTTAACCAAACGCTGCAAGTCCAGCACTGGGGATTCAGCCCTTCATCCAGCCCCTGGGGTGAACCCCACTTGAAGAAGGGTCTCACTCGACCCCACTTGAAGAAGGGTCTCACTCGACCCCACTTGAAGAAGGGTCTCGCTGGGCTGGGGGCTGCCCATGTTGAGCAAGGAAGGGGCTTCATCCTGCTCAGGTACGGGTAGCATCAGCACCTCCAGCTTCCCAGCCTGCCCTCCACTTTACCACCACCTCTGCTCCCTCCATGCCACCACGGGACGTCCTCCCGGGACATGAGTCACAAACCCATGAAGGCTTTTTCTCTCCAGGGCTTCGTCACCTCCCTTTGGCAAATGGGTGACCGGGGTTCCCCAGGCTTCCCACCCAAAATTATCTAGAAAAAGTGCTGGAGAGGGAGGAAAGTGTCTTGGAGAACTTGCGGGGGAGGGATGAGAGGCAGCGCTGCGGTGGCATTTGCTATGCAATTGCACCACCTAGAGGGAAGTGGGACTGGGGACAGACTGGGGACCTCGTCCCCCGAGCTGCTCTGTGGCACTGGTGGAGGTCCCCGTTCCAGCCCGCAGCCGAACCAAGCACCCTGGAACACTCTCCACCTCTGGGAGATGTTGACCCCCCCATGGTTGAAACCACAGAGGCTGCTGCTGCTCCGGCACGGAGACCAGGGCCACCAGGCTCCAAAGCACAGCAGGTCTCTGCAGAAGGCCAAGCACCTCCGCTTTCACACAGAGAGACGTGGACATGTCCCCAGTCTGCTCTCACCCTCTTCTTCCCGGCCCCCATCCTACCTTCCTCATGGCCTCCATCTGCGTGAGGTCCCTCCGGCGGAGCCGCACCCAGCGCCGTCGCCGGTTGGTGTGGTACATCTTCTCAGCTGGCACCCAGGCCTTGGGCTTGCGGTCCGGCGGGATGGTGATGCCGTACTCCCAGCCTTGGAGAGAAGGGGACACCTGGGTGAAGGCAGGAGAAGAGCCCCCCACCTTGCCTTCCACGAGGGACCTCTCTTCACATATGTCCAGGTTGGAACAGCAAAGGTTTGTCCGAACACAACGCGCTTTCCCAGTTTGCTGGTCCACGCAGATCAGGATCTACTGATGCTGTCACCCAATGGAGTTGTCCCTCTGGGAATGGCCAGGTGATGGACTCATGGTGCCCTTCCAGCCCTTGGATCAAAGTCACAGCTTGGGGCCTCTCCTCTCTGTCCTTCCTTCCTCAGGCAACCCCAATGCCTGCGACCCTCTTGAATGCTCTCCAGCCTGATGCTTTCAATCTCTCTTTCACCAGAAGACCTTCCAGAAGACCAGAAGATCTTCCAGAAGAACAGCCTGGCCTTTCCCCAGCAGCAAGGAAAGCGCTGCCTTTGTGGCTTCCCACCCCACAGCCCCAGCCTTGGCCAGAGTAAGGGGGAGAAGGTCCACCCAGGGCCTGAGGCCCTTCTCCTGAAGTCAGTGGCGCAGCTCACACAGCCGTGAAGGGGATGTCATCATCGCTAGCGTCGGATAGGACCGTGGCAGGAAACATCACAACGGGCAGCATAAAGGGGATGAAAACAGGACAGACACCCGGAACCACCTTCTGATACCTTTCTCATCCACAGCTCTGTTGAGGTCTGTGTCCCACTCCACGTCTTCCCATTTCCAGCCTGGAGGACACTCAATCTCATCCTTATGCAGGACCTTCTCCCCGTTCTGCAGGATGCAGGTGTGTTTTCAACCAAACAGTGCCCAGCAGATGCCTACATCTCCCGTGAGCCCCTGGGGGCTTCCTGCCACTGCAGCCTGCAGTGGTCGTCAGCCCCCAGCTTCCCACTTTGCCCTTACCACGTCGGTGTAGGCATCGGTCATGTGGATCCACTGGCCCCCGGGCAGCCGGACCTGGTTCTCAAACACCTCCTCCACGAAGCTCAGGTGCCCAGCGTCCACGTCGTGCAGCAACCTGCACCCCAGGGAGATGCACGGCGTCAGGGGCTCCTCCTTCTGCCCCCCCAGCCCTGCACAGGCAGCAGCACAGCCTCATGTCCTCCATCCTCTCACGGCCAGCCATGCCACCCCAGTGCACACTTTGCCTCCTGAACCTCTTCCACCCCAGAGGCCTGAAGCAAAGCTCCCCCGAGACCTCAGCAACCCAGCCCAGGTGAAGCCCAGAGGCTGTAAATCCAACGCAAGGAGATGGCAGAGCTGTGTCGAGCATCCACCATCCCCTCCCATCCCCTCAGTGCCCCGCTGGGATCCAACCTCCAAAGATCCTCAGCGTGGGGCTCGCACAGGCCATCGTGTCCATGAGCGCCTGTGCAGCACCCACCATCCTGGAGACATCACCCAGCACTGCATCTTCCATTAACACCGTTCCATACCATGGGTTGGGCAGGCAGGCGAGGAACCCCCACGGCACCCCAGACCTCCATCCAGCTTTCTGGGTGACCTTGCCACCAGCTTAGCATCTGCTCAGGTTTTCGGGGTGCCTGCGACAGCCTACCCAGGTTCTGCTCTTCACAGAAAACCATCACTCACGTCTTCTCCGGGCAGATGAACCAGTCCCCGGCCCAGGTCCAGCCCGTGGAGGGGCGGAAGCTGTCCTTGGGCAGCTTGATCTTGCCGGTGACATCTGAGTATTTGGGGTAGGTCAGGCCAGTTGTGCCCCAGTTCCCCACCAGGGCCAGCTTGGTCTGGTTCTCATACTGGTGGAGCAAAAGCAGAGGTTTTTGCGTTGGAGGCACAAAATCCCATGAACAATCCCTCCCTTCCTGGAGAGCCCCACCCTGAGGACAGACCTCCTGGGCAGACTCTCATCCCCGCCACCAGCCCCTGCTCCAGGGTCACCCCCAGATTTCTCCCCCCAGCAGACGGGACAAGGTGTGAAGCCACAACGCGGCTTTACTGCTCGCTACCAACCTTCTCCCCAGCCTTTCAGGCTGGATGCTGGTGGAAATGGCTTTCTTCTCACAGCTGGTGGGACCTGATGTGACTCCACCTGGCAGTGCCCTCACCCCCATCCAGCCCACCCTCTCCCCTCCACGATGGAGCTGCTGCCCACTCCGGAGAGGAAAAGAAACCACCTTTAGGATGGTCCCTACGAGATGCTCACAGTTTCGGCGAAGACGGAGAGCTTCCCCTCGGCGTACTGGTTGAACTCCTTCTCATCGACCGCCAGTCCGAACCAGAGCTGGACCCGGATCTGGGCTGGGATCCTGGGACCCGTCGCCTCCTCCTGGGGGTACTGCCAAAGGCAGAGCCTCGTTAGTACCCCCGAGGAGGGTGTTAACGGGGGATGCTCGGGACGCGGGGCTGGGCTTGGTGGGTACAAAGCCCCCACAGCTCCAGCTGGGAAGGTGGGACACGGAGCATCCCTGGGAACTGGGACGACATCCACAGCGTGCAGAGCACTTTGGGGATCACAGAATCACAGAATCACAGAATAGTAGGGGGTGGAAGGACCTCTGTGGGTCATCTAGTCCAACCCTCCTGCCCAAGCAGGGTCACCCAGAGCAGGCTGCACAGGACCTTGTCCAGGCGGGGCTGGAATATCTCCAGAGAAGGAGACTCCACAACCTCCCTGGGCAGCCTGTTCCACTGCTCCGTCACCCTCAGAGGGAAGAAGTTCTTCCTCCTGTTCAGACGGAACTTCCTGTGCCTCAGTCTGTGCCCATTGCCCCTTGTCCTGTCACTGGGCACCACTGAAAAGAGCTTGGCCCCATCCTCCTGACACCCACCCTTCAGATATTTGTAGGCATTTATAAGGTCCCCTCGCAGCCTTCTCTTCTTCAGGCTGAACAAGCCCAGTTCCCTCAACCTCTCCTCGTAGGGGAGATGCTCCAGTCCCCTCACCATCCTCGTAGCCCTCCGCTGAGCTCTTCATCTTTCTTGAACTGGGGAGCCCAGAACTGGACACAGTACTCCAGATGAGGCCTCACCAGGGCAGTGTAGAGGGGAAGGAGAACCTCCCTCGTCCTGCTGGCCACACTCTTCTTGATGCACCCCAGGATCCCATTGGCTTTCTTGGCAGCCAGGGCACACTGCTGGCTCATAGTTAACCTGTCGTCCACCAGGACACCCAGGCCCCCCTCCGCAGAGCTGCTCTCCAGCAGGTCCACCCCAAGCCTGTACTGGTGCATGAGGTTGTTCCTCCCCAGGTGCAGGACCCTGCACTTGCCCTTGTTGAACCTCATCAGGTTCCTCTCTGCCCACCTCCCCAGCCTATCCAGGTCACGCTGAATGGCAGCACAGCCTTCTGGTGTATCTACCACACCTCCCAGTTTGGTGTCGTCAGCAAACTTGCTGAGGGTACATTCTAACTCTTCATCCAGGTCGTTGATGAAGAAGTTAAACAAGACTGGGCCCAGTACTGACCCCTGAGGGCCCCGCAACCTCCCTGGGCAGCCTGTTCCACTGCTCCGTCACCCTCAGAGGGAAGAAGTTCTTCCTCATGGAAGGGATGACCTTGAGGAGCTTGAGGAGCTTCAAAGCCCGGGTGGTCAGGGCTTCTGTGTCCTGGTGAGACACCCTTCAGGGCTAGGACACCAAACCCAGCCAACACATTTCAGCAAAAATAGAAAGAACCAAGAGGGAGGTGTCTCAGGTGTCTCCCTGTCCCTTTTTCTCTCTCTTCTTCACTTTTTTTCCCCTTCAAGTGACGCTACTTTTCCATCCAGAGCTGAAGTGCAGAAAAAAACCAATATATTTTGGTTCATCTTTCACTGCTTGGGGTTTTTCGGGTTTATTCAGTTTATTTTATTTCACTTTATTTTTTTCAGAGATTGTTCAGCCCTGATTTTCTGCTCCCAAGCTGGCGCGCAGCGAAAGGCCAAAGAAATCTCCTTTGAGACGTGAGAAGCTCCGTAAGTGCCTTGCAGAGGAGGCTGCAGCTTCGATTTCCCGGGGTGGCAGAGGGTCAGGAATTTTTAAAAACAGAAAAAAAAAAGCATCTAAAAATTAAAAAATGAAATCTATTTTTAAAAAAAGCACCGTATGGGTCAAAGCACACCCATCTTCCCTGCCCTGGAACTTGCAGAAAATATGAAGCTATTCACGGGGATCTGCTGCAGACCCATGCCAAGAGGAGCTGAGCTCCACCAGCAGCACCATCAGGTTCTCACCACGCAGGAACCAGCTTCTACAGGGTTGAAATTGTGGCTGGGAGTCCCCGGAGCCCCGGACGCTCCTGGCTTAAAGCAGCCCTTTGCCTTGGGATTTTGGGTTTCGCTGCACGATTTTCTCTCTTTCGTTTTTTTTTGGGGGGGAAGATGTTTTAAAAACGAGTCTCACGCTTGCACACAGCCCAGAAGCCAAGCTACCTTCAGGAAGATGGTCTGCAGCTTCCCGCAGTTCTTGCCGCAGCAGCTCCTGGAGAAGAGGACCTCGTGGGCCGGCACGCGGGCGTAGGCGACGCGCTTGTCTCCCTGCAGCATCCAGATCACGACGTCGGGCAGGCTGTTTTGGGGCTGGAAAACACAAAAGCCGCTGTGTCTGACCAGGGGACTCCAAACCGGAGTATCCACCGTGGAGGGACGTGGGAGGCTGGAGAGGAGCCGTGCCCCGAGTCCCACCACCAACCCAAACCCATGGAGTGAGACCAGCTGACCCAAACCCCATCTCAGCAGCTCCAGACCCCATCTGGGTCTGGCCAGGGCAGAGCAGCCCCACGTTTCCCCAAGCGCTGCCAGCCACAGCAGCTTCAGTTGAGGGTTTAGTGGCCATGCTGCAAAGCTCTGCCACGAACAAGGCTCAACCTCACCAGCAACTTGGTTTCCATCACCGTGGAGGTGGTTTTCCCACCGTGGTGGGATGCAGGTGCAACCCTTGCAAGGGGGTCCAGGACTCTGCCTGCACGAGCAGCATCCTCTCCGCTTCCCACCGCGCCGTCGGCTCACGGCCATCGTGATGGCCGGCTTGGGAAGAGCGAGACTCATCCAAGCTCCTGGAGCGTTACCTCCTCTGCCATGGCCTTCAGCCTGGAGAGCCAGTCCTCCGCCTGCTCCAGCGCTGCCGCCAGGCTCGAGTCCTCGTGCTTGAGCTTCAGGGCCGCCGTCACGATCTGCTCCAGGTTGGCGCTACGAAAGCGGTACAGGTTCTGGTCCAGGTGGGTGCTGGCCGCCTTCCCCAGGACGTCGGGCAGGGTCACGCTGGGGGGACGGGCAGAAACAGGGCGTCAGCAGCTCGCTCACCCTCCCATGGGTGAGCTTTTTATTTTTCCTCCTTTTCAGCAAGTTTCCAAAGGATTAACAAGCCACCGAAGGTACGTTTGGGGAACGGGGCAATGCCAAGAGGGAAGGAGCTTCAAACCACACTCTCAGCCCCCCCACATCACCCACCGCGGCCAGGACGGCGCCCCCAC